AAGATCATTCAAAAACTATTAGAATACTACATAGGGAACTGCCAGAAGTTCAATCAGGATGTAGAAGAGGCTGTGACACCAGGGTATCATTGCTACTGACAGATGGGTCCTAGTTGAAATACCAAAACAATGTCTATTTATGCTTTTCAGGCTATGCAAAGGCATTTGATGGTGTGGATCATAACAACCAATGGCAAACACTGAGAAAAATGGGAATTCCACAGCACTTAATTGTGTTCATGTGAAAGTGATACCTAGAACAAAAGGCTTTTGTACAGAGCAATGGAACACTTAGGGGTTGTTTTGCAGTTTTTATGATTTATTTAGCACAAATAAAATGTACAAACCAGCCTTCTATTCATTTTCTTTGCTGCGCAGTCTGGCATTGGGATTGGTGATTCTAACGGCCAGCCGGGTTGCTCTCTCCACAATGGCTTTGTGGTTCTTGGAGGAAACATTGTGCATAATCTCAGCACATCAGCAGCACCTCCAGTTCCTCGAAGTTGTGGACTAGGAATCTGCGGAAGCCGCTGGGCAACATGTGCTTTTTCTCCTTGTTCCCTCCATAACCAATGTTGAGCATCAAGATCTGGCCCTGAAATCCTCTCCGAACCCTGTTGTCAATGCCTCTGGACTTGTGCCGATTACACTTAATTTTGACATAATGGCCTGATTGGTGGCAGAACTTCTTGGTCCTCTTTTTTATGACCTTTGGCTTCACCAGTGGTCTGAGGACAGTCATTATGCCAGTGGAAGATGACGGCCACCTCCATAGAAAGCACGGAAGGACCATTGTGACCATAGAGTCAGAACTGACCCATAGCTGACCCTCTGGTGGGTTTTCAGAGGCAGTTAAATCACACAGGGGGAAACTGCCCATCCTTCTCCAGTAGAGCACCCAGTGGCCTCAAACCACGTCTTCAGGATTGCAGCGCACCTTCTTCCCACCAGGCAACCAGAGCTTCCTAAGGGAACACTATTGTTGTTGCTATGTGCCATAAAGTTGTATGCAAATCGTTGCAACCCTTTGTACCACAGCTCTGAACCCTGCTCTATCCTGAGCCAATCTCACCATCTCTTGACACACTTACCCCCTTTACTCCAGTCTCTGAGTCAATCCATCTACCTGTCCTGCACTGTCCCTCCATTGTCCCAAGCATAATGTCCCTCTCCAGGGACTGACACCTCCTTGCAGCATGTCCAAAGTATGTCAGATGAAGCTTCAGAATCCTTTCCTTCAAGGAGCAGGCTGGTTTTACCCTCTCCAGGATGAACCTGTTTGTTCTATTAACAGTCCACAGTATGCTCACTCAATACTCTTCTTCAACACCACACATCAATTCCCCTTCTTTCATCCCTAGTCAACTGTCCAGCTTTCTGATACATAGCACATAATTACGAGGACCGTGGCCTGGATCAGGGCACCTTGGTCTCCAGACCAACACTGGTGTTCTTCAGTACTCTGGAGAGGTCCCTGACATATTAGTCTTTAATTCCTGGCTGCCGGTACTAAGAGTGTTGATTGTGCCGCTAAGAAAACTAACGCTGTTAACAATCTAAATCTCTTCGCCATCCATCATGATGCTGTCAATCGGCCCAACGGTAAGAATCTTTTTCTTGATATTGAGCTTAAATCCATATTGAAGACTGAAGTCATCAACCCTCTGCATCAAGTGCTTCAGGTTCTCAGTTTTCAGCTAACAAGGTTGTGTCATCTACATAATGCAGGTTTATGGGTCTTCCTCCAATCCTAATGCCACATTCCTCCTCATACAGCCCAGATGATCTGTTCTGCATATAGTTTGAAAATGTAGAGATAGGACACATCCCTGGTGTACCACCTTTCCCAATTTTAAACAATGCAGCATTTCCTTGCTCTATTCTCATGACTACCTCTTAGTCCAAGTATAGGTTTCATAATCACAATCAAGTGTTCTGGGATTCCCATTCTTCTGAGTTAGGCAGTTTATTGTGCTCCACAGTCAAAGACCTTTGCATAGTCAATGAAACACATTCTTCTGATACTCTCTGCTTTGGGCCACGATCCAAATTATTTGGTATGCATCTGACAGCTGAAGAGTGAATAAGGATGAAATAATTATTGAAGCCTTTGAGCTATGGTGTTGAAGAGCACTGAACATCTCATGGACATCCAAAAGAACAAGTCAGTTTTAGAGAGGCAGCAGAGTATTCTTTGGAGGCAAGAATGATCAGGCTTTGCCTCACATACTTTGGGCATGTTGCTAGGAGGGGCTATTCCTTGGAGAGGGACATGATGGTGAGAAGGGTGGAGGGTCAGTGAAGGAGAGGAAGACCCTCAACCAAGTGGACTGACACAGTGACTGCCAAATGGATTTGTCAGGAAAGCACAAAACAGGGTTTTGTTCGGTCACTATGAGTCATACTTGACTCAACGTTACTTAACACGATGGTGTGGGTAGACTGTGCAGGCACAAGGTAGTTCATGAAGGTTGTGAGGGCATGAAGGTAGTACAGAGATTGAGGACACTAATAAGGTGGTGCACAGTTGAGTTCGCCAAGATGGTGGAGGATGGTTGTGATGGTACTTTATTTAGGCAACTGTGAGGACTCTTAAGGTGGTACAGAGAGGCTATGAGGGCACCAATGTGTTGAAGGGAGATTGTGAGGTCATTAAGGCGGCACAGGGAGGTGGTAAAGGCACTTGGTGATGCAGGGAGGTTGAGAGGGCACTTCCTAACTTGCCTTCAGTTATAGCACTTTTCAGAGGAGGATAAGTTTTCAATCATCAGGAAGGAAAAGTATCCTCACAGCAACTTAAAAGCATCTCTTGATCCCCTTTAGTACCTCCCATGCCTTGAAAATGCACCTCTGGTGGCACAGTTCAGAGTGTTGTACTAAAAGGTGGAGGCTCTCTGGCAATCTAAATTCATCCTCAAAGGACAATAGTAGGCAACCTCCTTTCATTCAATTTACAGGCTCTAAAAACTCACTGGAGGGTCAGCTACCTTCCATGTTTTGAGTGGTAGAAATCCAAGAACTGAGCTATGGTGATACTGGCACCTGGTAACCCTCTATGCAGAGCCGACCCACTCCACAGGGTTTCTAAGACTTTACCTTTGAAAGCAAACTGGGACTTTTCTTCTAAGGTATCAGCCTTCCAAGTAGCAGGCAACTATTTGGGGTTAAGGCTATAAGAAACAGGAATCACTGTGTACAGATGTGTAAGACCTAGAATTCAGCTGCCAGGGAATCTCTTCAGAGAGTACCACCTATGGTTAGTACTGAGGCAGCATCTATAGAGTGGGTGGGGTTGGGCACACAAGCAGCCTGCTATAGAGGAGATGTCATGGAACAAGACAGGATGAATCCCAGGCCAGGAGCCCCTGAACACATGGGACAGGCCAAGCTCCACAAATGGAGGACAGGACAGCCTGGACTCTTTAGGGGGTGGGCACATCGGGCCTCCATCAGTAAGATAGCAGGTAAGCTGAACTCTCCCTCCACTTTCCAACACCAGCTGGGTCCTCCCCACTGCAGTCCGGGTCCCGACATTGTGCCCCCTCATATCTCCCAGAAGACAGTCTTCCCTGCACTTCAGAGACACCTGGCACAGGCTGCAGATGACCATCAAAGCAAGCATCTACACAGTATCATTCCAGCAGTGCAGACCCAAAGAGGGGGCCACCTTCCACCCTGTGGCCAGCAGGGACGTGACACAGCCTGGGGGACAGGGAAGCTGGGACTCAGCGCTTTCCAGTGGACACTTTAACCTCTGTACAGCTACAGGTTCTAGAAGTTGCCCATCGGCCCATGACAGATGGCTTCATCACAGTGAGGTCAGGCTGACCCAGGAATGACCACACAGCTTACTACAGATGTCTTCAGTCTGTCTTGGAGGCCCTTGAAATGAGGCTGATCCCAAACCCATGGGGTACTAACTAGGTGAGCTTGTACCTAAAACCTGAGAACAATCCTCACCTTGCTGAAGCCGTAGTCCTCCCTACATACCTTGGGAAGTGCAGTTAAGGTACTTAAAATGCATTCATTTCAAATATATAAAAATGATCGCAAAATGGGTGGGAAACTTTGGAACAAAAAACCCTAAAAAAATCCAACAAGAAAATGTGTCTTTTGAAGGGGCAAGTCTAGCACCAGGTGAGCATGGTAGGATGGTCAGACCTCCGCATGCAGCCTACAGCCTGTGGTCAAGGAGTACATAGAATTCTAAAGAAGCAGAGTTAAATTCTTTTAAAATGAGGTAAAAATAACAGCAATTTCTGTTACCAGCAGTAAAAGAAGTACGGTTAAATTTCTATTACCAGCAGTATGGTTAAATCTGACCACAGATGAAGCAGCAGGTCTTCATGTTATGTGGCCCCACCATCACACTGGAGCGCTACAAAATCACTAGCTCTGAACAAAAGCTATCAAAATATCAAATCAAAACCCAGGTCACTCCAGGTCTCTGACTTAAGACAGCTTTTTCACAATTTTACTCTTCATTTCTTGAAGCCATCCATTTCAGACTGATGTCCAAACAGCGGCAGAAATGAATACCCTGATCCTCTTTCACACCCGAGTCCTAATGAAATCAAGATGACCTAGTCCCATAGAGACCACCTCAGTTGAAGGCACACTGGCTGAACTCAAGGGACTGTCTAGAGCCTCCGCAACAAGCTAACAGACTTAATTAAAATGAGAAGTTCTAACCAAAAGTCAACTTTTCTGCATATGAATTTAAGAAAAAGAGGATACAAACTATATATGGAAGTTTTCATCCCTAAAACACAGAAAACACAAACAAGCAGCAGAGAAAACAGGAAAGGGCTATGACATGGTCATTCCAAGTCCGCAGGGCTCACAATGAAGCAGGTCGGCCACAGGCCCTTTAATGAGGCAGGTGGGTGACAGGCTCTGGGATAGCACAGGTTGGGCCCCAAGCCTTGTAAGGAGACAGGTGGGCCACAGCAGCAGGCTGTAGCCAGAGACAGAGCTGTTCCTTTCACAGCATTCAGGACTCAATCCCTCCGAAGGGGTACAGTTTCCTCACTGATGCCATCCTTGGTGATGACACAGATCTTGAGCGCATCTCCTGTGTACACGTCCCGCTCTGCAGCCGAGATGAAGACATCCCGCACCAGACGCAGGGCCCTGTCCAGGGACAGTGGGACGTGCTCCACATTCTGCATGTTTTTAAACCCAACCTAGAGAGGGGGGAGAAGAGGGTTTAAGCTGAAGGAGACGGACAGTCCAGCAGAGCTCAAGATCCGAGCACCTGGACCATCCCTGAGATGCACAGATGAAGATGTGCTGAGGCAGAAGCCCCCTCCACTCCCACCCACCTCCACCCCCAGCAGGTAGAGAGCATCATGTTACCTGGTTGTCTAGCAGTGGCTGCAGCATTGCACTGGCCGAGCCCCCAGCCTTGAAGGAGTCTCTCTGGTAGGAGCCCACTGGGTCAAAGCTGTACACAGCTCCTTTCCCTAGAGGAAGAGTAAGTATACGAGGCTCACAATGACACCAAGTGTACCCCGACACTGCTCCACATAGGAACCAACTCACCACTTGAGGGTCACTTCCCTGTCCTCACACAGAACACAAGCTCCACCCTCACCACCTCAGGGTCACTTCCCTGTCCTCAGATGGCAGACAGGGAACACTATTCTGGTTCCACTATAAAATCACGTAACAGAAATCCCTATAGGAAAAAAACCACATCCAAGGTCACCTGGGAGAAGTAGGGGAAGTTTCTGCTATACGCACACTGGGACAAGTGAGGCTTTCATGTCTGGTAGGTGAAATCACAACAGAAAGAAAGGAGATCTGGCCAAGGGGCTGACAGGTCATAGTAGAAGTCAGTTGCTGTGCCCAAAGGGAATCACCTCAGAGTTATGTGGCAGAAGAAGGAGGGCTAAAAAGGTGTGGCAAAGCCACAAGCAGGGCATCCAAGACTGCTGGGGAATGGGGAGAGCAGGTACTGGGAGAGCAGAGTATTCACCTCATCACCACAAACCCAGAAGGCGCAACGACCAAAGCTCCTACCAAGAATCCTGGATTGTGCTGTAGGAGGCCTGATAAAGCAGGTCACAGAACCAAAAGCAGTGGCCCTGACTGCACAACCTGCTACTCGACACCTTGAGAAACCCAGGAAGTGAGAGATGGGCTTCTGAGGAAAGAGGAGCAGCCCTGACTCGAAGAGTGCCTGTAGGACAGACTTGCAAACACATCAACACATGGGCCAATTCTATGAACACATGCGTCAATCCCAACAGCTACGTTAGTTAACCTGCCACAGGGCCCTGCCTGTGGTCACATGTCAAAGTGCACAGCTCCCAATGTCTCAGGATGATGGCCAGGATGACTAGGCAGCCAGGCCCTACCACAGAAGAGCATGGAGTACACAATCAGGGGTGTCCCACAGAAGCGATCTTCAGGGTACAGTGAGGTCCAACAACCAGTGGTTAAGAGTGATAGCATGAGATCACCTCCCTGGAGGTACATGGACACTCAGAAGTGTGGGGTAATCTCTGTGGACATGTTTCCATGCACACAAGTATGAGATACAGCCTCTATGATGGTACATGTCCACACACACAGGCTAGAGTCCACAGCTGTGACAATGCATGTTGCCTGTGACAGTACAGGAAACATCCAGAGTGAGGCCCCCTTTTCACAAAGCTGCACATGAACATAGGATCATGGATGGGAACTCTCATCGGCCCACTATGTACATGAGACACAGACTCATGTACCATTGAGGACATTGATGAAGAGGAGGGAAGTTGCCCAGAGCTGCCAACAGGCACAGCAGTCACCTGTGCAATGCCTACAGCACTAGAGGACAGCTCGTCCAGTCCTGGGAGGCTTCAGGGAGCACCAATCTCACTCCACTACAACTGCTGACAACAAGCGCACACACCCCGCCCCCATCATCCTCACTTGTTAACAATCGAAATATTATTTATGTCACATTTGTTATTATGATGTCACCTTATTTACACCACATTTCTCCAGGAAGCTTTCTTCATATGACAGAAACTCAACAACAACCCTGAGCTCAACACAACCCTCCTACTCACCTCTCAGCAACTCCCAAAAACTACCCATTACATTGCTGAATCACTGCTTATGTCCCTTCTGGTTTCAGATGTCACTTTTATGTCAGAAATAAGGCTGCCAGGTTGAGGTGCCTTCAGAAGCAGCACTCACCTTCTTCGTCCAGCCCGCCAATGATGTTGTAGACGTAGTAGGGGAAGAAGCGCCGTGAGTACAGGATGGTGGAGAGCATGGCAGCAATGGCCCCCGTGGTCATGGCCTTGTTGTTGGAGTGTTTATACATCTACAAAGGGAGACGGGAAGAGCCACAGTGAGGGGCACACACAGCACTGGGCCGCCAACTAAGAGAATTGCTGTCACTATACCTGCCAGTGTGTGGCCAATGGGAAACCTGCCCTCAGTTCTCTGCTTTAAAGGCCTGAGCTTACGTGACAACCAAACCCGAGGTGCAGCTAACTCAAGGGCAGGAGCACAAAAGCACCCAAGTGAACTATCAAGCTCCATTTTCACAGGGCTCAGTCAGCTTACCAACTGCTTCTGTAAATAAAGTTTTACAAGAACAGTGTCACACTCACTATCAGTTAAACACTGGCTATGGCTGCTAATCTGTAGCAAGCTGTGTTATTTCAAAGGCAGTTCGAATTCACCAGTAGATCCTTGGGAGAACACACAGTCTCCTCCCTTGGGAACTCAACAAAGGGCCTCTATGTGTTGACATTTAATTGACAGCAGGAGTGAATGAGCTCTCACAGTGGCACAGAAGTTGAGGTGAGCACTGCCAAACACAACACAATCTGCAAATCTGCCCTATGCCCAGACGAGGTCCCTCTCTGCAGGATGCTAGAGCGGAGCAGTAGCCCTGCTGCTTAAGCACAGACACAGAGAAAAGCCTAATGTCCAGAATAAAGTCTCAGGATGACCACACAGTAGTTTACATTGAATTCATCACATCCCAGGACACTCAACAAACTGACAGCAAATACTAGTGCACAACAACCGTTTAAAAGTCACGGTTCCTCTGTGCTGCACAGGAAATACTTGAGAACTCAAATCACACAGGCCAACAAAGTGACATCAGTGCACCAGCTTGTTCATAGTGGATGACTACAGTGGCTGGCTGCTACAGACAGCAGCTCATCAAAGAAAAAAAGCTAGAGAATCCTATCTTTGTTTTATGAATTTGACCATACTTGCCACAAGTTATCAACTTTCAAGAAGTGAACTCCCTATTCTTCATTTTATTAAAACGCGACTTGGACTTCAGATTTTTGAAAACTTATGCCTTAGGAGTCATAAATAACGGTAACAGAAAGTACTGATATTAGATGTCAGTAAAGGATTAAGTTTTACAATTGCTAAACACTGAGTAAAATCATTCCCACACGTTAAAAAAGCACCTGTTGGTTAAGGTCTACTGTGCATTTCAATGCCAATAGCAACCACCCATATTAATAACCCTGAGTGGTATTCACAAACATGAGAGTGCCACCAATCACTGCTGATCCATTCTCATACCAATCAGATAGACTTAGCAAAAGTAACACTTATGGCACATATCTAGAAAACTTCAGAAGACACACAGGATACTGATGCTATTAAAAGTCAAAATATACTAGGTTGTACTTGCTTGAGACACAATGCCAATACCTACGCACACCCTGCACTGTTTTCAGCTGAAAAAGCGTGGTCGTCATCGTGTGCTACTGAGCTGGAACCAACTCATATTTGACCCTTCAGCAGGTTTTCAGCGGCTGTAAATCACATGGGAGGACACTGCCCATCTTTCTCCTGCAGAGTAGCTGCTGAATTCAAATCAGGTGCCTTTGGGATTACAGTGCAGCTTCCTATCACTGCACCAGGAGCCCCCTTTCACATAATCTTCCCCTGTAGTCAGTCTTCCCACCCTGGGCACTTTAAGTCCAGAAGTGACTCTGTTCACCAATGTGTGAACGGTTTGATTTCACTACTCTATAGACTACAGGCCTATCAGTGGCAACAATGCCCCCAACCCACACTGCCACTTAGGAAAGCCTGGCCTTTGCCTCATCCAGATACTGTCCCCTCTTCCATTCTGCCTCCACTGCATGTCCAATCTTCAAGATATAGTGAAGATCAAGGTTGTGGGGAGCAGTGGCCACTGTCCAGGATTTGGCAGCCTGCTGCCCAGGACAGGAAAGGGTAGTAGCCACTGCTGAGGGCAGGAAGGGAGGAGGCAATGCCAAGCTGCAAATTCTCCTTTAGGCACTTGCTAAGCCCTCCCTTGCCTGACTGATCAGGGAGAACATGTTGGGGGCAGGCTCAAACTGCACTCCCATCTATGTGTGTCTGGATAATCGTCACACAAAAAAGGCTTGTTTTGTCTGTTTGGAGGCAGTTTCTTCAGGGAAACCCCTCCCAACTCTCCTGCAAAGGCAGGTGACCTGCTCTGAGCTGTGTACATCTCACCAGTAGCCTGCTGTGATCATACTGCTGCCTTAGAGGCAAGTGCCCAGGGCAGGGGGACTCACTATGGGGAAGATCCTACATTTGGACTGGTCGGTATCAAGGACATACACAACACTTACCTTTAGTCTTGCTTCAATGATCTTAGTAAGTGTGAGACAATCACCATGGAAACCACTGCACCCGATGACTGTTTTATCTGTTCTGTAAAAGCACATCATAGGACACTGAGCTGGTAAGACAGCAGAGCAGCTGGAGCATTCCCAGCCCGTAAGAGATAAATGGTGACAGGACTCTAGCTGTCGCTTGTCCTCAGGCACAGTTGCAGGAATCAGCAGGTGACCATGAGACAGGAATAGAGTGGAGAAATCAAAGGAACATTATTTACAATTACAATTATATAAGATTACGTATTTATAATGTCAAGCAGGAAAGGCCTGTTTAAACATGACACAACCGAAGAGCACAGAGAAAGTTTTAGCAATCTGACTACATAAAAGAACTTAAGGGAAAAAATATGAACATAGTTTAGAGAAAGGGGAAAACCACAACCAACCCAAATCTGCGAAAAATACATTGGCAGCACATATGACTAAAGCTCAGTTTTAATTTCCTTATTCCAGAGTTCACAGGAATACAAATTACCATAAGCGTAAGGAAAGACCTTCATGGAACATAAAAGCCTAAACCTAACCAAGAACCCGTTTTCACTTGTTGTTGCTATGGGCCGTCAAGTCGCTTGCGACTCATAGCGACCCTATGTACAACAGCCCTAAAGCCCATCCTGTGCTAATTTCATTGTGTCCAACACACCTACCCTCATTAACCAAGTCACTGAATCAATCCACCTCATTGAGGGCCTTTGCACTGTCCCTCCACCCTCCCAAGCATTATGTCCTTTTCCAAGGACCAAACATGTCCAAAGTATGTTAGACAGAGCCTCAGAATCCTTGCCTCCAAGGAGCTACCCAGTTTAACCTTTTCCAGGATGAATCTGGTTTCCTAGCAGTCCATGGAACTCTCAATACTCTTCTCCAGCACCACAGCTCAAAGGCATCAATTCTCCTTCTATCCTCCTTGGTCACTGTCCAACTCTGATGCATAACAAGTGATTGCGAAGACCATGACCTGTATCAGACACACCTTAGTCTCCAGAGAGATACCATTGCTCTTGAGTACTTTGGAGAGGTCCCTAACAGCAGACTTTCCCATCACAGTACGTCTTTTAATTTCCTGGCTACTGGTGCCAAGAGTGTTGACTGTGGAGCCAAGCAAACTAAAGCTGTGAACAATCTCAATCTCTTCACCATCCATCCTGATGCTGCCAATTGGCCCAGTGGTAAGAATCTTTGTCTCCTTGACATTGAGCCTCAATCCATATTGGAGGCTGCAGTCCCTGACCCTCTGCAGCAAGCGCTTCAGGTCCTCCTCAGTTTCAGCAAGCAGGGTTCTTTCATCTGCATAAAGCAGATTGTTGATATATCTTCCACCAATCTTGACCCCACATTTCTCCTCATAGAGCCCAGCGTCCCGGATAATCTGTTCTGCATTCAGGTTGAAAAGGTATGGAGATAGGACGCACCGCTGGCATACGCCCTTCCCAATTTTGAACCATACAGTGTTCCCTTGCTCTGTTCTGACAACTGCCTCCTGGTCCAAGTATAGGTTTCACATTAGAACAATCAAGTATTCTGGTATTCCCATTCTTCTCAGAGTCAGCCACAGTTTGTTGTGATCCACACAGTCAAACACCTAACTAAAAAATGGGTGCTCTTGTACACTTGAATAGCATGAGCTCTGGTTTACTTTTTAGAAGGGCAATGTGGTGGTATGGATTAACGATATACAGCACACTTCTCTGACACAAAAAAACCATGCAAAAACAAGCACCTGGGCATTAACATGTGTATCATCCTTAGAGGCCTCCACCAAAACAACTCCTTAATCAGGGCACTGATTGAATTTTGATACACCCATACCAATTCAGACATGTACTTCCAAAATTAACTCCTAAATCCTGGTACTGAGTTCAGAGGAAACATCAAGTCCTGTTTGTCTGAACCTCAGAGCAGAGGCCAGAAGAGGAAGCTTACCTCCAGAAACCTAAGAAGCACCTGCACATATTCAAGCAGCCAAGTCCACTGGAAACTTCAGACACCTTTGGGGCCACAGAGCAACCCTCAGTTCAGACCAGCCTGATGAGATAGCCTCACCTCTCCTTTTAAGGTACTGATAGCTTGAAGAGGGTCAGGCAGAATCTTAAGAGCTTTTTCAGATGCTATTCCCAAATATCAGATGCACAAGGAGGATGGCCGTTGCCATGTGGAGAATCAAGTCCCCAAGGAGTTAGAAAAGTAGAGGTAGGTGGAGCACCTAGCTCCAAGTCAGTCTGGTGGTGGAGAAAGGGTGTCATGATGACACAGAATGAGGAGCTGAGAGGCCGAAACTGCACTTGAAATGTTCAGAGGACTAAGATGGGCACATGCATGCCATCACCTCTGTGTCCAAACACTTGCTTAAGGGAGCAAGGGTGTTTGGCCAGTGAAATTCAATATTCCCCTCAGACAGTACTTAATTAAGAAGTTACGCTTCGATGTTTTCTTTTTTTCATGAAACATAACAGTTTTAAAAAAATAACAGATAGAGGTCAATAGATGAAATCAATTCACCAAATGAAATTTTTTTAAAAACTGAGTTAACATAGTACTGTTGGTTCCTGAATGTAGTAATTAGAAGACTGTATGCAAATAAATTAGGACACACTAACTTAGAAAGTTGTCTATAAAAAGAGGAAATTTTAAAAAAACCCAAACAAACATAAAACCAATTTTTAGAAGCATTAAATCCTCACAAAAAAGTTGGAAGGTGTGTCCTGAAACATTTACTTACAGTTTGTAACATTTGGGACTGTCTCGGGTGTGAATTGAGAACCCTTCACTCAATCGCGTGTCAGAAGCAACGATTGAAAAGTCTTCTCCAGCAATTGCCAATACGGTCCTGTGGGGGTAAAAAGACAGAAAAATTACTCCAGTAGAAGCATGATCAGCTTGGGGTGGAGCTCTTAGCTTACACACGCAGCAGGCACAGCCTCCTCCCGGAAGCATCTCCCTCCTCACCAAGCAGGGACAGGTGTTCGTTCCGCAGGTTCTGATCCGACAAGGTGTTTCATGCAATACTTAAGACTGCCAACAAAACCAATCCTGAACAGAACCTACTCAAACACCCGTTAGTTGTTGCTGAATTGCAGCAACTGTTCTCCCCGTGCAGTACGAAGAAAAACGAAAAAGAAAATGTTCGCCTAAATGGCTAACGGACCATGTGAACCTCAGTCCTCATGACCCCGAGAGGAACCAACGGTGCCAGGCCACTACTGACCACTCTGGAAGGGACCACAGCAGACAGGCCTCTGACAGTGAAGAAAAACGCGCAACAAAACGTAAATTCATCAAGAATTTAAAGCTGATCAAGAAACGTGGGTTCAACAAGTCAAAGAGGTGTCTTTAGGGGGAGCCCAGCCAGAACCAAGTAGCCTGGGGCTGACCTCGGCCAGGCCTGAGACCCACTGCCAGGCCGGACACCGGGAGGACTCGCACCCAGAAGCCCAAGGCCGAGGGGGG